GTGAAGAAAATGATAAAATTTTAGTTTGGGTACAATGTTGTATGACCGCGCAATTGTCATTCAAAATGTGAGAGCGCTGAAACCTGAAAAATGGCCTGGGCAGGAAGGTGTAAAATTGCACGGTATTGAAACGGTTAAAAGAGAAAAGTTAACAGACCTATTGGAACAGGAATCAAGGAAGATCTTCAATAGGGATTCAAAGGAAAAATATCAGGGGGGGAATAAGCCGGAAAAATATTTGCTGAAATGACTTAAGGAGAAGAAATCAAAGAATTATATTGAAAACATTAAAGATGAAAAAGGAGAACTGGTATACTCTACCACTGATATTGCTGAAATGTTCCAAAAATTTTATAGTAGGTTGTATGATGTAAAACCTAGGAATACGAAAGTTTCAGAGGAAGAAAAAAGGGGGAAATGGCAGGAATTTTTAAAGGCAGCAGACCTCCCAAAAATATCAAAAGAAAAATTAGTAATGTTAGAACAAGCGATCTCCCAAGAAGAAATTAATACGACCCTGAAGAATACAGCAGGAGGGAAAAGTCCAGGACCAGATGGGTATACAGTGGGTTATTATAAGAAATTTGGAGACTTATTGGTCCCTAAATTATGTACATATATGAACACCTTAGGAGAGGGAATGGGAATAAGTGCAGAATCGCTGCAAGCGTATATAACAATCATCCTAAAAGAAGGAAAGGATAGTTCACAATGCGCTAGCTATACACCTATATCACTATTAAATACAGACACAAAACTGTTTGCGAAGGTGCTAGCTGTGAGGTTAAAAGAGTTGAGCCGGAATTGATACATTCGGATCAAGTGGGTTTTGTCCTGGGAAGGGAAGGGAGGGATAATGGTTTGAGAACACTGCTTGTTTTACAGAAGGCAAAGAGAGAAAAGTTACCAACAATTTTATTGTCGATCGATGCAGAGAAAGCTTTTGACAGAGTAGATTGGGGATTTATGATAAATACCCTAGAGGCCTTGGGAATAGGAACTAAGATGATGAGTTAGATAAAGGAGCTCTATAATGGCCCGTCCGCCGAGGTGAAGGTAAATGGGTCCCTCTTGAGGTCTTTTAAGATGCACAACGGTACAAGGCAAGGATGGCCCTTATCCCTATTATTACTTGTAATAACCCCTAGAACCTTTGCTGACGACGGTAAGAAAGAGTGTAGATATAAGAGGAATTAAGATAGGGGAGATAGAGCATAAGGTAGCGACACATGCTGATGATATGTTGTTTTATATTGTGAACCCTTGGTTAATTGTGCCTAACCTATTGGGATTACTAAAAGGGTACGGAGAGCTTTCAAGTTTAAAAATAAACCCCTTAAAATCAGAAATCTTGAACATCAGTGTTTCAAAGAATGGGATGCAGACTTTACGAAAAAGACTTCCCATTTTCATGGAGGGAGAAGGAATTAGGTTACCTAGGCATAAAGTTGACTCCTTCTATAAATAATATATACCGGGCAAATTATATTCCATTAATAAATGAAATAAAGGATGAGCTGAGAAGACTCTCAAGGGGAAGGGTCTCTTGTATCAAATGTATAAACCTGGTTAAGGTGGTGATAGTCCCAAAAATCTTATATAAATTTTACATGCTTGCAGTCCATATCTCAGGATCCTTCTTTGGGATAATAAAAAAGCTAATACTTAAATATATATGGGCTAATAAGAAACCGTGAATTAGGTATGAAGTTCTGCATAATAAGAAAAAGAAAGGAGGATTAAGCCTGCCCAATATTAAGAACCATTACACTGCGGTGATATTGTCACGAATTGTAGATTGGACATATAATTCACAGGGGAAGAGTTGAAATTAAAATAGAAGGTATATTAGGTAATACACGATTAGAGAGGATTATCTCGATACCACGAAAGTTTCGTACTATGGATGAGACTAGTAGTGCATTGACACACAAGGTATTAAGAGTATGGGAAAGAATTCACAATGAAATGGACTGGAAGTATAATTCACTGTTGATTCCCCTGGTGGGTACCGATTTTTTGCTGTCGGGGAAGGATAACGTTTCTGGGAAATGGTTCAAAGATGTAGATGCACGTTTGGGGCATATAGTAGTTAAAGGGAAGTTGGGTACGTTTCAAGATTTAAATATTAAAAAAGAGTTATTTGTGTCTTTAGATGAATTGAAATATTGTCAGTTAAGACATTTTGTTGCAAAGTGGCCCCAACCACTGAGGACATGCTCCCGTTTGAAAAGATTTTGGGCTCCAGGATGGCGCCAAAGCATGTTACTTCTGGGATATATAAAATTCTTGTTGAATTGGGGGGGCAAGTTCTCCACTGTTCTTAGAGAAATGGGAAAGGGAACTGGGAACAAAAATGTATGAATCACAGATAAATAAAATGTTTAAATTAACACATGGGTTGATTAACATGAACACTTGTTGAAATTATAAATGTTTAACGAGATGGTATTTGACACTGAGTGTTGTACATAAACAATGACTAGAAGTCTCACCGTTATGTTGGAGAGAATGTGGATCTAAGGAAACAATGGCAAATATATGGTGGGATTGTCCCAAAATACAGGGGTTTTGGCAAGATGTAATCCAGCTCATACAAGAGATTTTGGGGACAGCTATACAGAAGGATCCATGGGTGTGTTTGTTTTATAGGACAGAAGCACCAGTGAAGCAGTATAAAAACAGTGTATCAGTGCGGCTAAAGGGCTTTTTCCAAAATTTTAGCAGTTACAGGAGCCTCCAACAATGAGGGACTGGTTAGACAAGGTGGAATATATAAATAGGATGGAGGCGTTATACCATATAGATGAAGGTAATATGGGTAAATTTAGAAAGGATTGGGGAAGATGGTCTGACTTCAAGATATCTGGAAAATATACGGAAGTAGTGGGAGGCCCAGGGATCTGATTGGAGGTAGGAGAATAAAGGGAATGTTTTAAAAGGCAGTAGCAGAAATAGGAGAAGGGAAAAGAAAGGTTGGAGGGAAAGAAAGATAAGTAAGAAAAAGGAAGAGTTGGAAGCGAGGATTGAGAAATATCATAGGTATAAAATGCAAAGTTGGAAAGAGAAGGGAAGAGCTATATGGACAGCGGTAAATCGTTAGGGGATTTGGGTGAGCGGGGGTAGCAGGGAGGTGGGATTGCAAAATTTAGGGGAATGTTTGTATTTTGGATGTAAATTATGTTTTGCTGTGCTTTTGTAATAGAAAAAAAAAGTTTAAAAAAAGGATTAAATTAAAAAAAAACTGTTTTATAGCTCTCAATAAATCTTTATTGAACATCAGATGTGTACTTTTGTGCATTTATATGGTGTATGCAGAGTCAAAGATGACCGACACTAGCTTTCATTTTGTTCTGCATCCAAGGCTGTTTTTTAAATTTACAGGTATTAGAAATTATATTTGATATATTTAATACTGATGTACTTTATATTAAACCTAATTTTTTTTTGTGAGTTTCTTAGTGAATGTAATCACTCAGGATACTATATCCCACCCCCATAGTGTTTGGCAATAGGATGACATAGAGGAGGAGTGGAGGGAGGGGAGTGTCATTTACCAACATTTTTTTTACACCCACATGTGTGACACAAGGGTAGCACAGATATGAAGAAGGAGGAAACAAAAAATATAGAACTGAGCATGCTGAGCAGAGGACACCAGCTGGTCTACACAATATCAGCCTGCAATAGGGACACAGAGAAAACGGGAAGGACAGCTGAAGGAAGGATCAGCCAGGTATAATTCACTGTACACAAAATAAATGCTAGTGGCTTTGTGAGTATCACACTCTAATATACACTGTAGTATTATAATGAGAGTTTTTCAAAGTCAGGGGTTAATGACACATAACAAGCAGTAAAAAAGCTTCAAAACAAACATTCACTGACCTCTCTAGCTGCTTGTACAAGGAAGCAATTAATTCTCATAGATCCTCAAACACCACAATAAAATCTCTAAAGTCTGGTTTAAGTCAGTTTCTAACACTTTACATGAAGATTTTCATAAACCCATTATCAGTCAACCATTTAAAGTAAATCTAAACCATATCACTAAAATCTCACTAAGCTTTACCATGCAATTTCAAAAGTTGTTTTTAACGAATTTCATATTGAGGCTTCATGCACTCTAGCATTTTTTTTTCAGCTCAAGAAAACGCTGGGAAAAACGCTGGATAAAAATGCTGGTAATATCATTTTTAGTGGTGTTGTAGTAGCGTTCAGAAGCGTTTAGAAGCATTAGCGTTTTATTAGCATCTTTACACTACATGTAGAGGGAAAAAAGCTAGAAAAAAGCTGTTAGGAACATTTTAGTAGTGTTTAGCATTTTGTTCTGCTGGAAAAATTATCCAAAAGCTAAAAACTATTTTTTTTTCTTCTAGACTCTGAAGCTCAAAAAATGCTAATAGCCAAAATTAGTATGCATGGACATAAAGGATAGTGGTCTCCAAACTGTGGCCTGGTGGCCAGATGCGGCCCTTTGCTTGCCTTTACCTGGCCCTTGGGGCAATACTCCTCTCATTGATACTAGAAATGATTCTGCCAACTGACATCAACATTGGGACACCATTTCTGCCACTGACACCAATGATGGGGCACTGCTCCTTCCACTGATGCCAATGATGGGGTATTATTCATTCCAGTGACACCAATGATGGGGCACCACACAATTTCTTCCACTGACACCAGCAAAGGGGCACTATTCCTCCCACTGACACCAACGATGAGGTACCATTTTTCTCCACTGACACCAACAATGGAGCACTATTCCACCAAATGTGGTGATGTTTACTCCCACTGATGCCAGGAAAATTGATGCTCCTGCTGGCCACAGTCCAGCCCCCCTAAAGTCTGAAAGACAGTAAATTGGCCCTTTGTTTAGGAAGCTTGGGGACCCCTGATATAGGATAACACTATTTAGCTTCTAGGAGCAGAAAAAACATATGTTGATAATAGCGTCTAAAAAAACGCTAGTGTGCATGGAGCCTTAGAGTTGAAAACTGTCTCACAATTGTACTACTGCATTGTCATCCTGTCCTATGATGGAGACCAGGGGTGGACTGACCATTCAGGAACTTGGGCACTGCCCGAGGGCCTGGGGTCAGTAGGGGGCCCCATGAGATGCCCCTGCTACCTTTCATAGGCTTTTTTGGGTGTGGTTTGAGCATGGGCGAGGACACAGGGACCCCATGATCCCCTATTGCCCAGGGGCCCCATGAATTGTCAGTCCGCCCCTGATGGAGACTACAAGAGGCTGTCCCCAAATACATTGTATAGGTAAAGATCGCCATTATCTCACCACAGAGCAATCGTGTAATCGTTGGAGTGAGTGCATGTAGACAGGAGTAAACCTAATATGTTTGGAAGAGATCAGCAGCACTGAGATGAGGAAAATGATTTTAAAAGTTGAAACAGTATTTTATGTAAAAAAAAGGCTGTTATTTATGATACATAATGCTTTAGCAAACTACATGCCATCTTGTTAGGGTTTACTGGTTACTGGAATTTCTTTTGTATCTTAAGCTAAGCCTAATAAGACTAAAAGTCTTATTAGGCTTAGCTTAAGATACAAAGTTTGTGGGACCTGTAATCAGAAAATATGTATACCACAATATTCTTAATAGATGTGAGATAAAACAAATAAATGTTTTTTGAGGGCTTATATTTTTTATCTCTAGCCTAAGGCCTCATTTATTCATCCTAAATTGACTGTGGTGCATCAAGTTTACTTTGGATACGTGCAGCTCTGTTTAGGTGTTGCAAAGAGTATTGACCACTGAGCCTGTACAATTCGGTGACAGGCTGAATGTTGCTGGGGCTGTCTGAGGGTGTAAGCATGCATCCACATGTTTCTGCACATGCAGCAACTACCTGCAGTTTAGGACAGATGTTTGGCCCTGAATATATTCTGTCTGCATCCAGGGTTGGACATCTGTCCCTAACTGCTGTATGTGCAGATCAGGGGTGGACTGACAACTCATGGGGCCCCCAGGCAATAGGGGATCATGGGCCCCTGTGTCCTTGCCCAAACTCAAAAAAGCCTATGAAAAAGGTACCAGGGGCATCTCATGGGGCCCCCTACTGCCCGAGTTTCCAAATGGTCAGTCCGCTCCTGGTGCAGATACATATGGATACCTGCTTACAGCTGTAAATGTCCCCGGCTCCTTTTAGCCTGTCACTGAGTTGTACATGCAGAGCAGCCACCACTGATTGGTAAATCTGGCTTCTTGGCCACAGGTATCTGTAGAATACTTGCTGCACCATGGCTGATATAGGAATTTTGAATAAGGCCTAAGAGCTCTGAAAACAGATCCTAGTGGGATAGCTGGCTTTAGCTTTAACCAAGTATTTATTAAACTTTTAAATGCCGGTTCACATATATGTGGCTTGAACCACATCCAATCCGCATGACATGTGAAATAATATTGCTTTCTATGGTGCCTGTTCACATACAGTATATCCAGTGCATATTCAGTGTGGATTTAGTGCAGATTGAAAAAGAGTCCTGTCCAGTTTCTGAGCAGTGTGGTCTGGTTCCGGTGTGGATTACAGATTATTGACTTCTATGGGAACCGTTTCTGAACCGCATATGTCATCAGTTGTGAACAGAATACAATCTTGACCTGGACCTGATGTAAACTTGTCCTGAACCTGATCTAAATATGCCCAGAACCTGATGTAAACCTGAACTGTACCTGATCTAAACCTGTCCTGAACCTGATCTAAACTTGCCCTGAACCTGATGTAAACCTGCACTGTACCTGATCTAAACTTGTCCTGAAACTGATCTAAAGCTGTCCTGAAACTGATCTAAATCTGCCCTGAACCTGATGTAAACCTGACCTGAACTTGATCTAAACATGTCCTGAAGCTGATCTAAACCTGTCCTGAACCTGATGTAAACCTGACCTGAACCTGATCTAAACATGTCCTGAAGCTGATCTAAACCTGTCCTGAACCTGATGTAAACCTGACCTGAACCTGATCTAAACCTGTCCTGAACCTGATCTAAACCTGATGTAAACCTGACCTGAACCGCTGAACAACTACTGTGTCAATTAGCAGTAAGACCTGAGCTTCCATCCGCACCACACGTGTGAATCAGAGGCACTTGCAATATAAGGGTTGATTTACTAAAACTGGAAAGTACAAGATCTGGTGTAGCTCTAGAAACCAATCATCTTCCAGTATTTTTAGTCAAAGCTTAATTAAACAAGCTGAAGTTAGAAGCTGATTGGCTACCATGCAGAGCTGCACCAGGTTTTGCACTCTCCAGTTTTAGTAAATCAACCTCATAGTGTCTTAGTATTCGTTTGTTAGGTCTGTTCTTTTAGGGCCCGTTCACACTCCAGCAGAGAGCTGCATTTTCCTTCTTAAAACTAAACGCAGCTCTTTGCAAGGGCACACAGAAAAGAATGCTTTTCTGTGTGCCCTGTTCACACTTCCCCGCAACTGTCACCTGCGTTTTTATGTGAAAACGCACATACAAAAGAATGGAATGTCACCTTGTGCCATTCCAACAACGTTCAGGGAAAAAGGGAAACGGTGATGTAAAAATGAAAGAGGCACCACCCCCCCTCCTCTGACGGCACCTTCGATCACTACCTCCAGATAAAAACGCAACATTTTTCTCTGCGTGTATTGTGAACCTACCCTAATAGGAGAGCTGGCTATTGCTTTGACAAAGCATTTACTAAACTTTAGGAGGTGTTTAGCAGACTTCAGCATAGTGTGGCGGTATGCTTTTGCTTGTGCTTATTCGTTAATGGGAGAGCTGGCTGTAGCTTTAACCAAGGCATTAAGCAGGCTTAAAGAGGCATTTAGCAGACTGCAACATACCAGTTCTCCATGCATTTGTTTGGGCTTATTCTTTAATAACTATGTTCCACACCAGATGTAAAAATGCCCTGGCTTAGCCATGGAGCTTCATCTGAAGAGCCACAGATTGTCAACAAAATGGTTATGCTGATCATTATTTGGAGAGGCCATCCGGGTCATAATAATACACATTTACTGCCATGTATTTTGCATGTTGTGGAAATTACAGCAAAGTCACGTGACAGTCAGTGGAGAAAACACTGTGCGCAGCTGAGACCCAGCGAGCCGAGCTTTGATGCAAGCACTCCCTGAGAAGATCGCTGACTATACAGTGTCTGCAACATTATTTACAGTAAATGGGAGACATCCTACAAATGTGAAGGTGAAAGGTTTCTCTTTATGAGATAACTCTGCTATTCCAGGGCTTTATGTTCTTCAATCACTTATTTCACCAAAACACACCCATATCCTGGCTGACAAACAGGTTGTTCCCTGCATTTTACACTATATTTATCTATTATTAAAGTATATCTAAACTTAAAAACAAAAATGTAATATATTGCAGATTACCAGTGTGGTGATTGCATTAGTTTTCTTTTTGTAAGGCTAAAAAACATTTTTTGCAAGTACAGAACAAAACCTATTGACCCCACTATTATTCCAGGGTCCTTGTAACTTTCTGTACACTAATCTCATCTCAATATTATTAACCTTTCCTTCCCCTCTCTCCCAGAACTGCCTTACCTATGTTATAGAGAAGGGGAAGGCTGTTCTGTAGGCCTGTCCTATGGTGACAATGCATGCTGCTCCTCTATAGATACAGTGGAATGTTTGAGCGTTGGCACCTCAGGACAGGAAGTGTGTTACTGTGAAGATCATCAGGAAAAATAAAGGGAAAAACCTGAAAAATGAGAACTAATGCAGCCACCACATCTTAGGAAGCTGCAATGCACTACATTTTTGTTCTTGGATTTAGATATTCTCTCATTTTAAGATGGCTAGTATACTGTTTCATGTTTTTTAATCTTTTCTACTTTTTGTGTCAATCTTTGAGAATGCACGTAAGTAACATTTCATTATACATCGTATGAGCACTTTGTGCATATGTCAATAAGACTTTGACTCTTGGATTTAGTATTTGTCAAAGCTACCAAATGTCCCTATTTTAACACAGTCCCTCTTTTCAATCCTATTACCTCTGTCCTTCTTTCCTTCACAACCCTCCCTCTTTTGTATGTGATTAAGATAGGTGAATCTGTCCATAATTGGTTCACCAACAGTTTATTCTTCTTCTATTCTAGCCATTTGTAGGGATAATAAGCAAGTTAATGTCAAACAAAAGGTATAGCAAGTGTGGGAATGCAATGTGGGACCAATGCCCCCCAAAAAAGATAAAAAAAGCAGTATCTTCCCCCTTCACATAAACGCCAACTCTGCCCAACAGGGATGAGCTCAGGATTTGGTTCAAACACAAGTTTTAACACCCATGGAGCCCCAGGAGATGTAATTTGGTTCCAGCTAGCAATGGTATCTGACCTGTCTGTTGGTCAGTGGGATATTTTTATTTAGGTGGATGCTGTTCATTGTGACTGATGTGGATCTATATAGTTGGACAATGCGACTGATGGTCAACTTACATGATGTGACCTTTTTAAAGAACTTGTCAAAAACTGTGTTTTTTTTTTTACTGTTACATTTTTTTTTAAATGAATAGGGATATTTTGTACCACATAATCATTCACATAGATGGGGGAAGTGGTATTTTTGGGTCCCCTTATTGTTGAAGGGGGCTTCCAGATTCTCATAAACTTCCCACCCCCAGACCCCCAAAAGCACCAGGCCAAGGTTGTGGGAAGGAGACCTACAGAACACCTCTCACTTTTTTAATCTCTGTAATATTAGAGGGAAGTGTTCTCTAGTCCATCAGGGAGAACTCATGCACGGCTGACAACGCTACTTGGCTGTAATGTGATGAGGGCTAATAGGTAGATATAGGGTGCTAACAATCAGACCAGTACCGACCATAGGGGTTGGGTTTGATATGTTCACTTTAAAACGAGACTACAACATTTACCCCTTGTCCTGAGCACAAGCCAGAGAGGAACCTGTACTCAAAAACAGAAAGTGGGACAGGAATGAATGAATACTGGTCAGGGGTCCAAGGATATCTTTAAGAATTTACTAAATGCCAACAATCTGTGGTGGATAATCCAACCTGATAATTTATTAATCCTTATTTTAAAACAAATTCACAAGATAACATGT